GGGGGGGGGGGGGGGGGAGGGAGTTCCGGTATGTTCGACCCACCTATTGAAAACTGTTTAATAGGAGAAGAATACGATATTTTTAATACTGTATTAATATTCTGCAACATAATTCTCCGCTTTTTGTGATTCCTTTTGCTCATCCCGACCACCTCTTGAAACTAAGCAAACGGAACTGGATTTGCGTCATTAAGTGGAGCAGAGCTCTTCACTCGGGTTCTATTACCCGTTCGTCTTCAGACGGTTCTGTGCTCATTCGTCGTGGATGTATTCATCCTTGTCGGGTCCGGCTACATTCGTCGACCGTATAGTCGTGGACGTCGTTGCTTTCTGAACATGGCTCCCCCAATCGCGCTCCTACTCTACTCTTCTGGGGCATTTGGTGGACTATTGTTGGCCGGGCGCACATTGGCCAACACTTGGGAAATGGCGTCAGTCGCCGCGTTCGCGATACTAGCCCTGTTCGTGATTCGCGATGTGCATCCCCGGAGTAGTTTAATCTTAATCACATTCATCTTATGCATTCAAGCTGTCTTATTCGTGTGGGCCACATTCGTCCGATGCACGTATCCAGTCTTCGTTTTCCCGCTAGCTTTGAAGGAAATTTACGTGCTACTTTGCCGGTTTAAACATCGCATTCTGCTTTCTGGTTCTATGGCTGCTTTGTTAGCTGCATGCACCATACAACTGTGTCTACACGTTGATACAGTCTACTTCACACAGTCCGATCCATTCACTTGGCATTCTGTGACTGATTTGATTTGTGTCCCGTGTCGTTTCTTGAAATACAACTCGCGCAGTGAACATCTGTCGGAACATGGATTGCATCCACCCTACTTACATTTGTTGGTCAATATGCCATTGATTTTCGGTCCCGTTCTCGGATTTTTATCCTTGTTGATTCCATCTCCGATTCGAAGTGGCCAGACGCTTCTTTGGTTATCTATTGTGGTACCCTTAGCGTTTTTATCCAGTATTCCTCATCAGGAAGCGCGCTTTCTCCTACCCATCGTTCCGTTTGTCTTGATCCTGACTGGACGGCGATTGGAACAATTCATGGACGGTGCGATCAGTCGAAAGCGTATCATCATCGTCTGTATCATCCTCGCATCATGGTGTGTACAACAGATTTGCCTGACAGTTGTGTTCGGCTCATTGCATCAAGCTGGAGTTATATCCTATTTGAAGTCAATTCCTACTCTTCAGCTTGACCCGAGGGAATGCCCCGTTCATGTCTTCTACCATACTTACATGCCTCCACGATTTGTTCTGGGACGGCCCGTCTCTCTCGGATCAGAGCATAGTCCGTGTCATAACGTGATTGATCTGAGTGGCTCCCACTTTAAACGGCTTGAAGATACATTGGCCAAATTACGTTTGCAAGCTGACCGGGAAGCAAACAAACAATGGATTGCATATGTGGTCAGTTGCTCGTTTATCAGTGGTGGTGTATGTGCATGTCATCACTGTTGTCTTTTGTATCGGTTCAATGGTTTACTGAAATAAGTAGGTTCTAGCAAATTTTCTCACCTAATTTTATCTTCTTTCCGGTGACTATGTTTACCGGTTTGAAATAATTTATCTTTGAATTTAGGCAAACAGACAAACAAGTAACACAGTACAAGTGATTTTTTGTTGTGCTACGAAAAGATGTTACATTTGGGAAATCCTAATGCGTACATTGTCAGTGTACGATGTAAATATTATTTTTATTTTGTAAGATGCTATGCCTTGGCTGTTTATGATCTTGCGCGTTCCGTGCACGGCAGATCAAGTGTCCGTACGTTCCTCTGAATAAAATTAAAACATTTCACAAAAGGTTTTCTGTGATGGGACTATGCGGTAATACCGGACTGGTCAAAATAGACCACTTTTTATTCAACACAAACGGTCTCTTCCCCGTATTTTTCTGCCCAGTCGTTACATGGACACATTCATACACTTCCAAATGCTCGCACGTCCAATTCAGCTATATGGTTGATAAACTGTATTGAAACTTATCAGAACAGTGCTTGCCCAAACCGTCGTGGTCTGTGATGGTAGAAAACAACCCATTGCAATTTGTTTCAGTCACTCGAAGCTTTTAATTAAGTGGTTTGACGTTCACTGTTCTGTGAGGTTTTTCTCTCTGTTTTAGATTAATCAAACCAACATTACTTGCGTTCTTTTTATTGTCGGTTTCAATGCACACTTAGTTCGCGTGTTGTGCTCCGCTTCTCACACAGTGTCAGTTTCCAATGTGTCCCGTCTCTCTCTCTCTCTCTCTCTCTCTCTGATTTTGTAGATCTATCCAGGATCTATGGCTCCGTTGAACTTGAATATCAGCAACTGGAGAACAGCTGATACCGTAGAAAGCACGATTTTTGGACACCTTTCTTTTGAAGATCTACCTTCTATTCGAGTCTTTCTGAAAGACTTCTCACTATCTCTGAGCCACCTCTCGACAGCGTTTAATGACTTTCGGGCGCAATTATCAATTCATGTGTCCACTGTTCGACTACGGTGATATAACACGTACAACATCATCTTTTCAAACAATAACGTTCCACTTTCTCTTTAGATGTTTTCTGAGTCACTTACCTAATGGTTCGACTAAATTCTATTTTTTATCTACAGTTTTTAACGACTAACATTTACAAATATACGTACTCCTATTAATTCTAATGTTTTATGCTTTTTTGTCATCTTTCTTTGTTCGGTCCGATGTGTTGATGTTTTGTAGGAGAAGTTGTGCATTCCCGTGTCATTCTCTTTTGTTCGGACTTCTGATCCGGTTTCGCTTGGTTACGTTTACGCAGATATCATCATCAATCATCGTATAGCGAAATAGGGTGAAGAGATCTTCGCTGATCGCTGTCAAGCTCAGAATGTGTACAAAGCAAATGATAAAGTACAAGATGGAAATGGATTGGGTCTAATTGGAGGGAGGAAAACAGAGTGAACCTCTATGGCCAACACACGGAGTACGCAGTCCAAGTGTGCATCCACTTTTTCAAGCATTCCGACCTGATAAGAAATGACAACAAGAACGCCACTACTGTCGTTTTGTTGCCATATCTCTCAGCGTCTCCGATCAAACATTTACAGTCTTTTGGACACCAACCTCGAATGCGGGAGATCCCTAATCTACCCAATTACTGCATTTCTTTAGGCTTGGTTTGTACTTCATCTGTTGATCTGCACGGGATTTCCTCCAACCTGGAGCCGCAATTGCAAACATGGCGCGGTGCGGTGGAGGATATAAAATGTCAAATCCGACATGCTGAACGGCAATTGTTCTCATAAATTGACACCGCTATCACATAGCGGATGTGAAACCCGAAAAGAAAATGTAAGAATGAGAAATAACTAACTAACAGGGAGAGTCTGTACATCTGGCAGTGAAGGAGCAGCTGCACATTCTCTTGGTCCAAAACTTAGAGGGATCTAATAGCAGGTGACTAGTAGTGGTGCTGTATTGGTACTTCACGACAAATGAAACTAAATTTTAGTGTTTCAGTTTCAGTTGTTACAACCACTAACCATGCACCTTCGTGCACCGGTTTTGGTTGCTGTCTTTTGGCAGAATAAAGATTCGAATGTTGATAGCAGAGTCAAAGGGAAGATAGGGAATTCATATAGATTGTGTTTGCAAAAACATTCAGTAGATGCACAAGCACCATTGTTTGAGACACTCAGTCATATCATTCGGAGCCTGATCATCGGTTACCATGATCTCAAGGTCCCTAGCCTGGGAGCCTAACGAGACCTATATAACCCAGTCTCTTGGTTGGGGTTTTCATATCCCCCTGCCAGGTCTTAGCTTGACCACTCTGGGCTTTTTTCACCTACTGTCCGCCTCGGCAAATATCGCTTGCCGTGGCAACCTATTTGGTGACATGCGTAGCACATGCCCCAACCAACGTAATCTATGGAGGTCGACCACTTGCCCTGTTGGGTGACCGCGGTTACCCAAAGCTCTGCGCCTAACTTCAGTATTGCTCAACTGGTTTCCCCACCAGACTCGTGCAAGGTGACGTAGATATCGATGTTCGAACACCAATCTATTTTCATCCTATTATCGTAATGGCCAAGTCTCTGCGCCGTATAGCAAAACTGACCGAACTGCTGCGGCATACACTCAACCCTTCACAGACAACCGGATGTCGCGACCGCGCCACAGATGCCTCAATTTGGCAAATGCCAACCTAGCCTTCTGTATGCGAGCTGAGACTTCATCCGTGATGCGTCTGCCAGGTGAGATGTAGCTGCCCAAATAACAAAACTCCACCTGCTCTATTACTTCCCCAGTTAGAGTGAGGCTGGGTGCTAGACTAACCCAGTCTTTAAGTAGCATTTTACACTTTGAAGGTGCAAAACACATACCGAACATGGCTACACTGGCATTCACGCTGTCCAAAAAAGTTGGTAATTTACCTGCATTTTCACTTAATACCACAATGTCGTCTGCATACTCCAGATCAAACGGTCTGCCACCCGGGAGCAAAATCGATGCCGCTATTCTCCCACGAAGATACGGCTATTTCCATAATTAAAACTATGGCAAAGTCACGTAGAAAAGGAGAGAGAGGGCAGCCATGACAAAATCCACTTTCCGTGGTGAACTCGGGTGAAAAACGACCATATGCTGGGGCTCGGCTTCGGCTGTTACCATAAAGAGATCTCAAAATTGAAATGAACTTCTCGGGCACACCCTTCAGAGAGAGGCAGTATCAGGGTTTTGAGCGGTCGAAAGTCGCTTTCAGATCGAGGAAGACAAAGATGGCGGGTCTACGAAACGATTGTCTGTTTTCTAGAATTCGACGAAGAGTGAAGATGTGGTCTACACAACCTCGGCCAGGTCTAAAACCAGCCTGATTCTCACGTGTACACTCTTCACGAGCAGCAGACGGAGTCTGATACCGGCGAGAAGTTTAGAGGCAATGTTGATTAAACTAATACCGTCAGATGGAAGCCCCAGATACCCTCCTACTCCTACATCCACCTAACGGGTGCAAGAGTGGATAGTCTACGGATGCCGGGTGCCCAAGCTTTGTGAGACTGGGCTTCGTTTGGTCTCTACCTATTGATCTTTCACGCTTGGTTGGATCTGTGGCTGTGAGGAGCCTTCCTGTATAGCTCACAGGGTTGAGGCACGCAATCCATCAAACTACGTCAAGTTGCATTCTCGTCGTGATGATGTACTGTGTTGGTTCAGTTGTTTGTTCACTGGTACGCAGTATTCGTTATGGATTGGACAGTGTTCAGAGTAAGCAGGACATCGGTTCTTCCACTCAGATTGGCGGTGTACATAGTCTATTTGGTTCACGACGAGACTGCACCTTGACGCGGTGTGATGGTTTGCGTGCCTCCATGACCCTGCGAGCTACACAGGATGGCTTTT